CCCCAGGTGCCCTCCCCCTCCCCCACCCCCAGCCCTGCCATCGGGGGCCCCCATCTGCCAGGGCTATGGGACTAAGACCAGGGCCCGCTGCCCCCTGCCCCTCCCACCAGCACCCAAGTGCCGGCTGCCACCTGCAAGAGGTGACAGCTGCTGTGATTGGAGCAGAGTGCAGAGCCTGAAAGAATGCTTTCAGAGACAGTATACTGTGTTCTTGTAACTCAAATGGATGTGTGTTAGTTATTTTGGCTGTGTGTGTGCATGCGTGTCCTTTTTGACCTTGAGTGCATTTGCCACAGTTTAGAGGTGCATATGTTATGACTCTCATATAAACCTGGGCCTCCTGTGTCAATCTGGAGAGAGTTTCCTAGGTGATACTTTAGTCCTTTGGTGTGAAAAGTGTTTGAAGAAAAAAAAAGGCCAGATGAGCAAAGCTTTCCTGGGGAAGTGCTGATTTGTAAACTTGGCAGGAGTGTCATGGTAGGGTGTTTTCAGGGCTGTCGCTTATAGTTATGTCACATATTGGCTTAAACTTCTGTTCCACCCAGGTGAGTACACAAACACCAGCAGACTCTCCCTGTACCTGACGAAGGGTGATTGTGCCCAAAAGATTGTAAAGAACAATTTTCCAAATATTTAATTGGTCTAATAAGATACCACATTTGCCCAAACAACCTTGTCTGCCTAGCAGGGTGTTGGGATTTGAGCACGGACTTCCTTAATCAGCCAGTCTCAAGCTGGTGTGGATGTGGGAGGGGAATCCAAAAGAAGGGGTGTTGTCCACTGAGGGTGGAGTTGTATTAATGTTTTGTTAGTGCAGAGATCTCAATCACCAAGAGTCCAGTTTCATTTACTACTTATTTGTTATTATCTATTTACATAGTTAATAAGACTTTTCTTTTGGCAACAGTGTTGGTAACTTATTATCTTTAACTATATTAAACCATAAACCCATGAATAGGTTTGAATTAGTGTTGCTAGTTCCTCCACAGACTTAGCGTTAGTTTGCTGTTTTAGTCCTGGTATATGGATTCTTGTGGAAGTCTTCATAGGAAGATGTGGTTTTACAGAATGATACTTAATATTTCAGTCATCCTCTCATCTATTTATTCAATGCTTTATTAAACACCAGTAATAGAAGTGTTCATCTTTGATCTCTGGGCAACTGTTTTATAAAGCTTTGCATCCAGATTAGTTACAAAAATATGTTTGGTGCCTACATCCATCAAGTCATGTTTAGTTTTGGCCTCAGAAACGTTATTATCTCTGCTAATAAATAACCCCTCCTGGCTATTATCTGGCTGCTGCAATAAAAACAGAAGAGCCTTTTGGTATGTCTGGAAGGTTAATAATTCTGAGACCTGGCAGACTGCTAGGGACAAGAACCTTCACCAGAAATGCCTGGCTGGATGCTACTTCCTGTTTTTAATGTTAGCAGAGCTCCATTTCAGGTACTGTCATTTTTATTTAGACGTATATTAAGCAAGAAGTGGATAGAGTAGACATTAGTCCTTAATATGAGGGTGTTGGCGATTAAGACCAACTTGTGGGATCTCTACTATCAAGTTTATTGTATGGGGGTGTGCAACTATTATACAGTGCACAGGATTGGAACCAAAGAGATATTGGTCCCCTACATACACACACATACACTCACTCATTCAAACCTATATAGTAGCTGCTGTAGTGATTTGTGAGAGCACTGTGTTAGTTTATCTACCTAGCTGAGGCAATGTGGGTCTGCTGTCAATGGTCAGTTGAAGCTTCTCTGAGGCAATGTCTTTCCAAAGGGGGGGTTGCTGGCTTGTCCTTCAGTTGGTAGGTTCGAAGAAAGAGGGTCATGCTTCACTGCCTTTCTCGGGCCAACTTCTGAGTTTCCCCAGCATCATCTTGGCTGCCCAATCCAGAGGTTGCTGTCCCACGTGGGTCTTAAGTAGTGCATTACGGCTGTCTGTCACAGTTACTGGGGGTTCCACCCAATGGTGCAGTTTTGGGAGTCCACCTTGACTTGATTGACTCGATGGCTGTGCCATTGCAGGTTCCAGGAATGGTCAGTAGGGTTGTTGTTCAGTTCCAGGAATTGGATCTTTGGCTTGATTAGCTTAAAAAGGCTTGTAGAATAGAGTTTTTATGATGGTAAGTTCCTCTGGCTAGGCTGTTGTCAGTTAACAGCTAGAGGCTCTTGCTTTGCATTCCCTGCTTGTCATTCGATTACCAACTGACTCATACATACTTGCATTCACTCAGGGGACTGCCCGGTATATTGTAAAGGTGATACAATTCAATGAATTTTTACAGCTACAGTTTCAATATTACAAGGCTTAGCTAACTTAAAGAGAGAGTATAAAATAAAATGTAAAGCATAAATAAAATGCGAGACACAGGATGTCATGGCAAAAGTGTAGAGGGAGTACATGAACAATAAAACCTAGAAGTGCATAATGAAATGGAATACAAAAATGAACACTATATGAATATAATCTAAAAGGGAATAATAATATAAAATACTTATCAAAGACCTATTATTATAATAATATTAAAGACTTATAACGTTTATTAAAAGACAGTTCATTGCTTTGCTTCATGATAAAGAGAGCTGAGAAGAGTGGGGGGGAAAGGAGGAAGGAAGAAAGATAGAAAGGAAAAAGGGTGCACTGGAGGTGAGTGCCCATTAGGGAGGGATTTTCCTAAAGAGGGGCTTCCTGACAAGAGAAGTGGGGGGGGGGGTCTTTGCTACAAGGGAGTTTATGGGATACCTCTGCAGTAGTTCATAAAGATTTTCTAGGTCTTACTATATATAAATCTAACTTAAAGTAGTCTCCTCTGCTTTTAAGGCCTGCAACATTTTCAACACCCCCTTTGTGAAAAGCAGTATCCAAGGCATCTAGAAAAACAAGAATCAGTGTGGTGATATCTTTACCTTAATTTGCTGTTAAGAGGAGACTATCTGGTGATACTAATATGGGTCTACACTCATATTGCTTCGGGTTAATAGAAATCTGAATATGATAGATATTTTCACTACTTCCTCTGTGATCTTCCCCAAAGCAGGAAGATGTATTAGATTATTTGCATCAAAAGTTTCATTAATAAAGGAACTGCACAAGCAGCCAAGGAGGCACTAGTGGTAATCCATTCATGGGGAAGGAACTGCTCACGGTCTTCCTTGCTTTTTTTTTTTTTTTACTAAGCAGAATGTACTGGTTAGTGGATCACAAGTGCATTACATTTTCTTGAAATTTGCTGAGTGAGGGTGTTTGTAGTGTGGAGAAATTGGACTCTGTAGTTGCCATTTTAGAGTTATAATGTTGTCCTGTATCCTTGGATGCATTAAGTTTTACAGAAATATGAAATGGCCTGAAACATACTCTGTGATCCAGGGATTTTGCTGGATGAAATCTGTATTGAATGTCGCTGTTGCAAACACACTGGAACTGAGATGATGATTTCTAAAGAACACAGTTTTACTCATTCTCTTTCTCTTCCTTGTCTTTTCTTCCCAGATGAACACAATGATGTACAGAAAAAAACTTTTACAAAATGGATTAATGCTCGCTTCTTAAAGGTAACGATTTTCTAAAAGTTGCACGAGGCTCTAAATCAACCCTAGTTTAAGGTATAAGGTTTTGCTTCAGAGATGTAATGTTGACTAAATTCATTTCACTTAAAATATTTCGAGACTAGCTATAGTAAAATACAGCAGAGTGTATGATGTCAGAATTAGATGTTTTACCTCACTTAATCCCCCCACTCTATTCTTGCAAAACAAAGATGTTGTTCTTAATCCTAGAATTTGCAACCACAGATTCCATTCAATGGTGTTACGAATTTGCAGTTGTAGTAGTCGCTGTTTTAGTTCATAGCAGGGTTGTCAAATGTACGGGCCCTAGGCTGAATCCAGCTCATGGAGCCATTTCACAGAGTCCATGGTGTTGCCAGAGAGGCTTTGGGAATGGGGGAACAGAGGTGGGGCCTGCTGCTGAATTCCCAGCTCTGGAGCCCTAATGGACACATGAAGACTGCCCATGCTGCTGCTCACCCTGCCTGCAAGCCTGGATCCAGTCTAGGAGACTCCTTGTGGTCTGGCTGTAGCCCATAAGGAGCACCACAGTCTAGATTCATCCCAGAGGCATAAATGAATTTGAATTATACTGCTGAGCTGGCTACAGTCATCTAGAATACTCATTGAACCTCTGCCTGCAAATCACCAGGTGCTGCCACTTTCTGAGTCTTTACAAAATGATGCATAGCTGTTTACTCATTCTTGCTTTTGTACCCTTGCTTTTCAAATTTTGGCTTTTCCGGTCTAGTCCCCTTCCCTGAGACTTAAGACCAATTCAGAATATTTATTTTGAGATGGGAAAGGAAATTGTAGCACCCCAGAGGAGAAAAGGCAGCTATTTAAATCTGATTTTATGCTACTCTGTTGGTTATAGAGGATGGAAGCTTGCCCACAAATGGTGCAATTGTGGGATAATCTCTTAGTTAAGTCAGCATGAAAAGAAGAGCCCTGTTTGTTTGGCATCAGGTGAATTCATATCTTTCTTATCCAGAAAGACTATTGAAAATAGGATAATTGGTATAGGTGCTTCATTTAAGGGAAAGTCTTTGCATGTGAAGTCCTATACTTTGGAATGAGCACACAGGCAGAAATTTAAACAAACCAACTAACAAACCAACCTATGATAGTGCTGTGGTAAAGGATAATCATCTCAGGAATTTAAGTTGCTTGAGGTTTCTGTTGGTGTGTGGAGTGAAGACCTTTTGCCTTCCTTCTCTCTCTGCCTTAATATCATATGACCTCAAATAGTGCTTAGTCCAGACCCCTATAGAAGTGCCAAATTTTAATGTGCTATACCAATATCAGGATTCACTGGTCCTACCATCTTAAGTAACAGTGCATTGCTTAAATGCAAAGTTTGCATTATTTATTCATTCTGGTCTAGGTTCATTTCGATTGAAACCTGAGTTTTTCTTAGCTTTAAGCTTCAGTGGTCTTTGTCAATGGATTTATTTAGGGGAGAAGTGTATGGAGAACTCATGCAATACGTGGGTTCTCATGGCCAGTGAGACTGGAAAAAGGAGAGGAGAAAGACTTTTTTTTTTTTTTTTTAAACAGTTGAGGCATACCCTTTTGGGTATTGATTTTTAGCAGGGGTGAATCCAGTGGGGAGTGCCTGGTTCATCCAGAGTTTAAAAGCAACTGCTTGGCAGTGGCAGCAACCTGTCTATTTGGGCAGTAGTCAAAGAGTTATTGACATTGGAATGAGCATCTGCCTTTGTGCTTATTCCAAAGTATAGGACTTCACATGCAAGCAGTTTTCCCTTACATGAAGCACCTACACTAATTATCTTAGTTTGTAATCTACCTGATTCCTTCTAAATTCTTCAGTCCACAGGTGTTAATTAGGGCAGTGTGAAATGGCACCTCTCTGTTTTGCCTTGAGTTTTGAGGTTTCAACAGAACAGCGTTTTGTATCGAATTTCATTTCGATTTGAAACAGCTGTTCCATTTTGCTTCATCGAAACAGTGAGGCTGTTTCGACTCTGTTTCCCTAGATGGGGCCGGGGCTGGGGCCGGGGCCGGGAAGTCAGCCCAGCTGGGCTGACTTTCCATCCTCAGTGCTATGTTCGAAATATTTTGACTAGCTTAGTTTTGTTTCGAGGCTGGTTCAAAGCCCTTTGTTTCATCACGATTTTACTGTTTTGACCTTGAAATGAGTTGAAACAGTGTCTAAACAAAACGGCAGGCGAAATTTCGCACAGCCCTAGTGTTAATGACCCCCCCCCACCCCCCAGCCTTTTTAAAATTATTTTAATCTTTCACTAATTAAACTATTCCTTATTCTGCTGTTTGCTAGCTGGTAATGTAGGGCATGCCCACAGGTACATTAATGCACTTTAGTTAATACGCTTTAAATCTAGTAGCTCCATTGTGAGGTACTAAGAAATTACACATTAGCCTGTCTAAATGTGCATTAACTAAAGGGCATGGGGTGCCTATACACAAGCACCAAGGCTGTTCTGATGTGCTGGAATTCCAGTACATCAGAGAAGACTAAATTAATCCAGACTCCAGCAGCCTCCTGTGTTGCGTGCATCAGCATCCCCACACTGAAAAATGGCAGTAGGGGCTCTTGAACTAAAGCTCATCAAACAAGTGCCCTTGCTGCCATTTTTAAGCACAAGAGTGCTGATGCAGGAGACAGAGCGGAACTTTCATTAGAGAAGCTCTCAGAGCCACTCTAATTAAAGCACCACCCCCTGCTTCTACCTCCTGAGCACATGTAAAAGTGCTCGTGGTTTTTAAGTGATGCTTAATGCACATTAGCCTATTTTAAGATGCATTAACTAAATAGCACTTTTTAAAATGATGCTTTAATGTGCATTAAAATAGGCGAATATGCATTCATGCACATGTGTAGATGTGTGCATAGCTCTTATTTCACAGCCCTGCAGACTGTTTTTAACTCTAGGTTAAAATATTAACTTGGGTGTGCAAATAACTTTCAGTGAAGCATTGGAGGCACTGTTAAGAAGTTTAAGAAGGTTTGATTGTGTTTTATGAATCTGAAAGAGATGTACATTAAATTCTAATGAGTATAAACCTAAAGAAACACCATATTTTGAATATTTTTGCCTAGTTTGTTGCATTTTTAATACTTAATATATGACATAGCCAATTAATGCACATTCCAATAAAGCTATATTTGTTTTTGTTTCAATCTTAAACTGACTAATATAATACAGTATAACCTTTTAAATCTGCTTTTCAAAATTCTGGAATTCTCAGAAATTTGGCATTCAAAAAAAATATAGTATACTACATTATTGCAATAAAAAATAGCTTCCCAATAATCCAGAAATTTCTCCGGAAGTCTGGTGCTTCTCTGACTGACATTGTTTTTGTTCATCAGCCTATAGCTATTGTTTCGAACAATACTCAGTCATGCATATAGTGTTTTATAGTTTCTAGGGTCAGAAGGGACCTGAGCAGATCATTGAGTCCGACCCCCTGCCATGACAGGAAAGAGTACGGGGGTCAAATGACCCCAGCAAGGTGTGCATCTAGCCTCCTCTTAAAGACCCCCAGGGTAGGAGCCAGCACCACGTCTCTTGGAAGTTGGTTCCAGATCGTAGCCGCCCTGACAGTGAAGTAGCGCCTCCTGATGTCTAGTCTGAATCTACCCTCCACCAGCTTGTGACTGGTATTTCTTGTCACTCCTGGTAGAGCACGGGGGAACAGGGACTCCCCCAGTGCCTGCTGGTCCCCTCTGACTAGTTTGTAACAGGCCACTAGATCCTCCCTCAGCCTTCTCTTGTGGAAGCTGAACAGGTTCAGGTCCCATAGCCTCTCCTCATAGGGCCTGCCCTGCTGCCCCCTCATCATGTGAGTGGCCCTCCTCTGGACCGTCTCCATGTTGTCCACATCCCTCTTGAAGCGCGGCGCCCAGAACTAGACACAGTACTCCAGCTGTGGCCTGACCAGTGCCACATAGAGGGGGAGT